AGGGCGGCCGCCGCGCGAATGTAAGATTTCCTGGCGCTCTGCGGCAGCTAACGAGATGGCTTCGGCATGGCGAAGGCGGCAGATGGGCAGACTGCAACAGGAGAGACTGCAAATATAGCGTGGATGGCCAAGGCAGGAGCTGCGAAGCCTGCGTCTGGAAGCAAGCCGCTCAGGCTGAGCATGCCACTGTTCGAGGCTGGGCGGCCGTGTCGATCCTGCTCGACCTCACGAAGGTCTACGAGCACATGCGCTGGCATCTCCTGCTGTTCATGGCCAGGGCGCCGAAGTTTAGTATGTTGCTCCTGCGTTTCATGATCGGCTTCTACTGCATGCCGAGGGTGCTGGTGCTCGAGGGCTTGATGTTGGGCGCCCCGTGGAACGGGATGGTTGCTGGCTGCTTCTTCGTGGGCCTGATGATGGGGATCTTCCTGGCGCCCATCCTGGATCGGGTGGCGAACATCCCGAGTTTGGACCTGGGCAAAGTGGTGGGCGACACCCAGCTGTAGGCCGCGGGCCGCGAGGAGCGCGCGGTGGGCACGCTCGCCAAGGTCTACGCGACAGTCCGCGCTGGCTTGCTGGCAGACCCTGCTGCTGAACGGCGCCACGGGCCAGGTGGTCTCCAACAGGCACTCGGCGGCGGTGGCGCTGAGTAGGCGCCGCCCGTCGCTGAAAGAACGTGGGGTTCGGTCGACTCGCAACCTCGGATTCGGTTTTTCTGCGGCAAGCGGCTTGGCACGGCCATTCGCCGTAAGCGATTCGGACGCGTGCAGAGACGCTGCGCGAATGTCCGCGCGCTCCGCCGAGCTCGGGGACAATGTGAGCAGCTCGTCTCCACGGGGCCGGCCGGTGCCTGTCGAGACTTGGGGGGACTCGGTGACTGGGCGGGCGCGGGGACAGGTGGTGCATCTTCGACGAGCTGTCCGAGCGGCCCTGTTAGTGCACGCGTCTCGCCGTTCGCTCACGCTCGATCTTGCTTTTTTAACAGGAGACCCTGCTGCGGTCGACCCTACAATGCGCGATCGGGCCTATTTTGATACTGGCCCAAGCTGTGCGGCCCCGCTGGTTCCCGGTCGAATGGATAGGTTTTCTCCTCGGCAAGGCTGAGAGGAGCTTCGCCCTGCCGAGGGGCCCGGGGGGCGGCCCGTGGACCAGGCCTGGTCGAAGGTCAAGGGCCCCGTCGCCGCTGCCCTTGCATCCTGCCTTCGGATTGGGTGGCCACTTGGGCCTGGCATCTCCTGCTAGAAGACGGCTCGAGGCGATGTTCTTAATTGAGTGGAAGTGTGCCCCCGCGCGGTTCAGGAGATCTCTCGGCAGGGAGTCGAGGACTGGCTGCTGCCATCTGCTCATGCTGATTGCCCCCACCGGTCCTCGCTCTCGCATCCTCTTCTCCTCCCCACCTCCCCACCCACCTGATTCGCCACCTCTGCCTGGTCCAGCCCTCAACAGCAGGGGATTGGGCGGCTTTGCATCAGGCCGCCGTGAGATGCCTGGCGGCTAACGGGTATTGGGATAATGCACGGAAGTTTCGTGCTGGCCTCGTCGGGGGGCCTTGGCGTGAGCTCTGCGGCCTCGAGCCTGTGGCGGTGGCGCACTGGCGTTGGAGGGATTGTCCGCGCGCGTGGGGCTTCCGACGAGATCACTTGCTGCCGGCCTCTCTGAAGGGCTGTGCTCGTGCGAAGGGTGACTGGGCCCTGCGGTGCCATGGCCTCCTGCCCGACCTTGTCGCCAGGTGCTTGGCCCCCACCCTGGAATTGCAGGCTCATTGGGGGGTCAGGCCCCCAGCTGCTGGCCACCTGGAGGGCGAGGCCTTCGGCGACGGGCCATGTGGGTCCATCCTCGCTTGCGAGCCGCGCCTTAAGAGGGCGGGGTGGTCCGTGGTCCAAATTTCGGCTAGCGGCCTCGACGTCACGGCTGCCTTGCGCGGGCCCCTCCCTGGACTCCTCCAGGACCCGAGGTGGCCGAGCTTTTGGGGCTCTTCATGTACGTTTCCGATGTCTCCCTCGGCCTTTTTTTAATATTTCTGCGACTGCGATTGGGTGGCCACCAGCAAGAGGCAAGGGTCGCGAGGCCACAGTAGGTAGCACGTGCATGCGTGCCGACCTCTGGGAGCGGGTCTGGGAGCGGGTGGACGACCATGGCGGGGGGGGGGCGTGGAAGTTGCGAAGGTGAAAGGTCACGCGCGCGTGCGCGACGATGACCGATCGGACGACGCAAGGTATCACAGGCTTGGCAACAGGCACGCGGACCAGTTTGCTCAGTTCGGCGCGTCTCGGCACCCCCAGGATCAGGTTGCTAATGGTCGGGTCCTTCGGCCCGCCAGCCTGGCCACATATGCATGTACCTTGCACGCACGCTGCGCGCTGTAGGCCTTCCTGTCAGCACGGTGTCGACCCGAGATACAGAGACCCTCGGCCGCCGAAAGCCGCCCCCGAGGCTCACGGCTGATGAGGAGGCCCCCGTGGGAGAGCACGACATGGCGCCCATCTCGGGTAAGCTGCGCTGCGTAAGGTGCTTCCGCATGGCCAAGACGGCCAAGAAGTTGCGGCAGGCCCCGTGTCGGCCTGCGGTAGGCCACCGCCTTTGGCGTGTAGGGCATTTCACCTTTTGCGGCTCATGCGGAGCCTACTCGCGTGATGGATGTGCAGCTGCCGGCGGCCGATTGGCGCGGACTGTCCGCGAGGCTCGACGGCGCGAAGACGCCTCGACTGCCTGCGGGGCGGAAGCCACCCACGCACTGGGGCGAAGCTTCCTCTCGGCTCGGGGCCCTCCGCCCTGACTCCGTTTGGAGCCTTCGTCCTGGACGTCAAACTTGGGGAACGGGAGGTCCCCCCCGATTGGTGAGGTGGTCGCATGCCGAGTCGCCCATTATGGGCGTAGGGGCGCCCGCCCGCACGGAGCACGCCGCTTGGCGGCGGTGCCCGCTGGTATCGTTTTCGCTCTGCGAGGCCCGTCGCCGCATTCCTGCACCGTCGTGGCCACACCCCAGTAAAAAAAGAGGCCCCTCCATGACCTGTCATTTTCAGCTGTCAGCGTCGAACGACGTCTTAGTAGAACGCCCAAGACTCGTGCGCCCTTAACCTGCATGGGTGCATGTCGCCTGTGTCCCTCGTCCACTCTCCTCTCTCCGCCGCCTCCTTCCTCATCCTCGTCGCTTCTCTCTTCTCCGCCGCCTCCCTCCTCATCCTCGTCGCTTCTCTCTCCTCCGCCTCCTTCCTCCTCATCCACCTCCTCCTGCGTCTCATCCCCTCGGCCTCCTCCTCAACCTTCTCCTCTCCCACCCCACCAAAGCCGCTTGAGCTTCGGCCAGTGTAGTTCCCGTGGCGCGCTCGCACATATATATATATACACATATCTATATATATATATATATGTATATATGTGCATCCCTCCTATTGCCGATCTCGACTTCAGGGGTTTGCCCAAACACAGTACTAGGCTGCCAGTCAGCTTGCATTCGTTTCGAAACTCACGCCAAACGTCATGTTTGTCGCCTTTCACACTTTACCCATTCCCTCCCACACTAGCGATCCGCAGTTGCACGCGCAGCTCCGTGGCTTGCTGCCCGTGAGAGTCGATCAGTGGCCGAGCCCGCACAAGGCGAGCCCGTTGAGCCACAGCTTGTGTTCCCTCACTGACTCTTTCACTCGGTGCGGCAGGTTCGCGTTGCGTCGACTCCGCGGCGACGCCGGCGGTGACCTCCAAGGTCCTTTGGGGGCCCGTTTCAAGCCACAGAGCCAAGATGAAGGATCCGTACGAGCGCGTGGGCTGAGAGCCTCGAGGGGCTTCAGGGATCGGAAGGCATCACATCTCTTCCTCCTCCTCCTCCTCCTCCTCTTCCTCCTCATCTTCCTCCTCCTCCTCCTCCTCCTCCTCCTCCTCCTCCTCCTCCTCCCCCCTTTCATCTTCCTCATCCTTCTCCTTCTCCTCCTCCTCCTCCTCCTTCTCCTCCTCCTCCTCCTCCTCCTCCACTCCTCCACTCCTCCACCTCCTCCTCCTGAAGCCCCTGGAGGCTCTCCTCCTCCTCCACCTCCTCCGTGCGAACGATCCACGCGGTGTCATAATCACAGTCGATGTCGCCACTTCGCGAACTTGCCTTACGCAGCGCAAGTATTTTGAGTGTACGCAGCGTGGCAGCTTTTCATGGTAGAGCCGCTCGCGGTAGCGCTTCTGGGATGTCGAATGGCGTGCCAAAGAGCGGCATGCTACCAGGGGGTGCTAAGCTTGCCTTGCAGCCGGCACAACGTGTACAGAGGTAGCCTAAGTCAGCCCAAGGTGGCCATGTGTTATTGATTGGCGTCTGAATGTGACGCCATCGTTAGCCGAAGCCTGCCCGGTGTGGCTAAATGCTTGACCCGGCTGCCCAGCAGTGCCGACGTGGGCCCGAGATGGCGCTCGTATTCCCCCGTGTCATCAGCCTTGTCCTCCTCCCTCCTCTTTGGACCACACTAGGGCCATGGTTGTTTGTTGTTTGTTTCATCTGTTGCGTCGTTCTGCCCGTATGCGGAGCCTCTGAAGTTTTCGGGAAACAATGTTAAGACGAACAGCGCGGACAATGTCAAGCATTTTGAAATCAGCACAGGCCCTCGCAGCGCGTGCAATCGGGCAGTATAGTGCGCTCTCTTGGTCTCTTCGGGCATCCCGCATGCCTCTTGCGGCCGCTTGGGGTCTCGTGCTTGGTCTTACAGTCATATGGGGAGATCCCAACGACCTCTTGGGACTCTCGGGGGCTGCCTTGGGGAAGTGTTGCAGTAAAGTTGCCGCTCGGACCCCCCTTCCCTGGGGATGACCCTCCACCGCTTCGCCTCGCAACGAATTCCCCCAGCGAGGAAGAGATGGAAGGGAAATGGCTTCCACTCGATTCGATCGCGACATGGTGAGGTTGGCGCCGGAGGAGGGGTGAGGGAGGAGAGGTAGGAGGAGAAACGCGGATGGATAGGGAGGAGGGGGGGAGCAGGGAGAGGGAGAAGGGGGTGGAGTGGAGGAGTAAGTGCTGAAAGTGGCTACGGAGGGACGGGGAGAGTCTTCGAAGGACAAATTTCTCGCACACGTCGGCAGGGTCGGCGTATTTCATCGCCAGCCACGTCCGAGGGTCGGACCAGTGCTTCTGACGAAGCGCAGTCCACACTCGTGGCTCGGATCGTACTGTGCCAGCCGTGCCGCGTCAGCAGCGCAGTGTAGCGCGACATCGTCCCATCCTTCCTCCTCCTCCTCCTCATCCTCCTCCTTGTTCTCCGCCTTCTACTACTCCTCCTCCCCCCCTCCTCCTCCGCATTCCCCTCCTCGTCCTCCTCCTCCTCCTCCTCCTCCTCCTCATCATCATCATCATCATCATCATCCCCTTTCTACCCGTCTCATGTCCCAGCGCGTGCGTGGCGTCTCTGGCTTTGCTTGCTGTCTCCGTTCGAAGGCCCTTGGGCAGAGCTCTGCAGTAGTACATTCAGCCTGAGCTAGGACCTGCCCGAAGCCTCAGTTGTTCGATCAAGGCCCGCTGCGGGCGAGCTGCAGACCGATAACGCAGCTTGAGAGGCGCGGGCTTTTCAAGCCCAGTGTACATAATGGGCGCTTTCTGCATGAGCTGCAGAAAAGTACATATCCTCTGACCAGGGAGCATCTATACACATCGGGCTCCCAAGCACACCCCAAACGCGGATCTGCTGGCGGGTCGACAGTCTCTAGATCCAGGATCGCACCGCATTCTGCAAAGAGGAGGTGGTGGGCCGGAAGCTGAGTCGCCCAGCTGAGAGGGAGCGTGTGTTCGCAAGTCGAGGCAGTTAGTGCCCCAGAGTGACGAATGCGTCCACCTCCGTACGGGTCTCAAAGGTCAGATCCCTCTCCCTCCTCATCAGCCATCGTCCTCTATGCTCTCACCGCTGCTTCCTTTCGGGTGAGTTTGTGACTGGGCCCAGGAGAGCTGGAAATTGTTGGAAACAAAATGTTGTTTGGTTTCTCACGCATGTGGTGTCGTTGTGTTCCATTCGCGTGGCATTTATCCCTTCATCTTACAAGTCGTCACATGGTCACAGTCCGACAGAGTGGAGATGAGCCAGGGACGGGCGCGCTTTTCATTGAATGGGATTTGAATCTACGCGGCCTCGAAAGTCTTCGTTATGCGTGGCTGGTGCGGGGGTATGCGGTGGCATGTATCTGCGCTCCCAGCTGCAGATCTCGGTAAGTCGAACCCAAATATAGCGCACCCGTGATACCCCGTGGGGGGCATGACGAGCATAGTTTCGGCGTCGTCGCTTGACCTCAGCATCCAGTTGGCTATGTAAAGTCGGGAGGCGACGATACACCTTCACATCAATCATGAGATCGCGATCCTGGGAATGGCCACGACCGGTCGCGGTCGAATGAGTAAGAACGAATGTGCGCGACAACGCTCGGGACGTCGGCGGCACTTCCAGAGGTAAAGAATATGTTTCTCACTCCCCTTCAACATCTTCCTTCATACCCATCCGAATCACCACATATGTTCGCTAAGTTTAGCTCAAGTTGCCGCCGAGAGCGCCTGGCTCGGCCACAAGCACGGTAACGTGCGAGCATGCAGCCTCCGTGCTGCCCAAGCGGACCTACTCCAGTGGCGCCTCCCGAGGACTACCAGGAACAGGGCGAGGAGATTCTTGTGGAAGCGCTTCCATGCTATCAGAGCGGGGAGCCAACCAGCCAAGCAGCAGTTCTTGTTCTGTCTGACATTTTCGGCTGGCGCAGTGGCCGCACGCGGCAGATCTGCGACAAGATTGCATCACAGGGATTTTTGGTTATTCTCCCAAACTTCTTTCACGATGACGGCTGGGACCACAACAAGCCTCTGACTGGTTGGTCGTGTCCGTGGTATTTCTTCAAGCACCTAATGTGGTACGGATGGTACAAGCATGACCCGGAGAAAAGCCGCTACTCCTGTTCCTGCCTGCCGGTCTCCAGCAATGTGGGGACGACCCTTCGTCATCTCGTCTCCCATTGCGGAGCCGACAGCTCCCGGACATTGGCAGTCCTTGGCTTTTGTTGGGGAGGCTGGTTAGCACTTCGAGCTTGTGGCATTTCTGGCGTTTCATGTGGAGTTGCAGTGCACCCCACGATGAATATGGAGACGTTCCACGGTGGAGACCTCGGCGATGCTTACAAGAAGATCCGAGTACCAGTGATGTGCCTCAGTGCTGGTGACGATCCTGTCGACGCCAAGCCCGGAGGCCCACTCGACGAGGCGCTCAAGAGCAAGCCCTTCGGGCAGGAGCGGGGGCCGGGTGCATGCGCAGGGGCCGCTGCAGCCAAGCCGGGTTCTCTTGCCAGATGATTGCGCACCCAGATGTCATTGCTAGTCTCTCTCTCTTCGTCCAGGCGGGCCTATGCGAATGTGCCAGCTAGTTATGCAGAGATGTTTCGATGTTGGCAAGGAAGCCGTTAAGAAACGATGTATGGTTTGATGTGCGTTTCCATCATTGCCGCCACGCATATCGAAGACGCTTACGGCGAATAGCCGCCGACCCCCGCCTCTTAGGATGCGCCCACGTGGCCAAACGGTTGGCCAAAGTGTATGTGTGTGTGTGTGTTGTGGAAACCTTTCGGTTAGCACGTGGGGGAGAAGGAGGATCAGGAGAATGAGGGAAAAAAGGTGCAGGAGGAGAAGGATGAGGAGATAACTTTGGTGCCCCTTGGGCTGGTCTTGGGGCCTCCTGGAGTTTTCTGGGGGCGTATTGGGGTGCCTGTGAGGGCTTCTTCGGGGCCTCGTTGGCCGTCCTGGAGCGTTCCTGGCTTTTCCCGCACCGCCAGAAGCCGTCTTGGGGGCTTCCCTGGAGCGGCGGGGCCTCAAGCCCACCCCGCCACCGTGCATGTGGGCGTCCTAGATGCCTGTCGGGATCTCCATGGATGCCGTTCGCGGGCCTCTTCGGGTTCTCTCCTCTCGGATGTCCTTTGGGAGTCTCTCGGCCAGCGGGAGGCCTTCTTGGGCCCTCGTGGGGGGCCTCGGTGCCTCGTGGGGGCCTCTGGGCGGCGTCTGGGTCTACAGTAGCCCTCTTGGGACCATCTGGGTGGCCTCTTGGGCTCGCTTGGGCGCCTCTTGGGCCGTCGTGGGCGGTCGGGAGCCTGCGTAGGCGAGAACGCCAACACGTGCACACGGGAACATACCGGAATCAAAGATGGTGGCCTCTTTGGCCCTTCTTGCGGGAGTGCTCTTGCGGCATAGTGGGCCGTCCGGAAAAGATGCAGATGTCCTGAGGCGATCTTTGCCTTTCTCTCAGGCCTCTTGGACCCGCTGGGGGATCTTCTGGGTGCCATCTTGGATCATTTCGGTATCATCTTGCCTCCAGGAGAAAAGCACGACTGCATGCCGGAAAGGCCAGGGCCGCCCAAAGGCTCCCACGAGCGCCTGGAACTCGAAGCCGTGGTCTCCTGAGAGAGTATTAGCTGTTCTACACGGAGGAGTCTCAGAAGCTTGAGGATATAGATTCCTTTCTGGGCCTAGCGGCACGGTTGCGGATCAGTGCGTCTTGCTCGCAGTAGCCCTAGGGCATCCTGCATTTACTTCGAGGGAACTCCTGTGGATCTCACGTCCTCCTGACCGCCAGCTGCGGCGTGGAGGGCATCCCAGATCGCCCTCCCCTCTCCCCTGATGCAGTGGGGGCGCGCATGAAGAAACCATATGCTTTTCGTCAAGGTATCCTGGGTTTCTTCGCTCCTCTCGCTGCGCGGTGACTTCCCGCAGCCGTTGAAGAAGCTGCTGCGTTCAGGGTGCTCCAGGTTTCCCCCCGGGTGCACCTCGCGCACGGGTTCTCAGGGGTGGGTTCCTTGCGAGGGTTTCTTGCGGCCGCGCCCGCACTGTACCGTTTCGGGCGTGACCCTGGGCGATCCAGGGACGAGCCGAACGCGTCGCAAGCCCGGCAGGTCCGCGCGGGGCGCCCTCACCACGCCGGCTCCGACAGGCGAAGGCAGGCTCAGAGACCTGACGCTCCGAAAGCATCGAAGCTGCTGGCTCGAAAAAAATCCCAGCCTCTGGAGGCCATCAACAGGCCACGGGACCGTCAAATGACGACCTAGGACCAAACAGCAGCCCATTCGCGAGATCCTCGGGGCCCCCGGGACCGCACATCTGAAAAAAGAACAAGAAAAAACGCGCGTGAGGATGTCTGGGCACGAGCCCCCCCACAGCGTGCCTCGTGGACACTGCTTTGGGTTGCGGCCCCGGGACACGCCAGACACATCCCAAGGCGACAGCTGTGCGGACTGCCCACCAATTCTGCCCCAGGGGGCGACGAGCTGGCCCCGCATCGCGCCTCTGGGACGCATTGTGGGATGCGGTCTGGAGGCGAGCCAGACAAGTCCCAAGGCGGCGGCCTCGCGCGGGATATCCTCACCACATCGGGCCTGGTGGGCGAGGGGGAGGCCCCACATGACGCCTCGTGGACCCTGTTTCTGGCCGCGGTCCAGGGACGCGCCAGACGAATCCCCAACGACTGTTCTGGTTGCGATCTGCGGACGAGCAGTACGAATACAGTGGGGACGCACATCAAGAAACCATGTGCTTTTCGTCAGGGTATCCTCGGCGACTTCCCGCGGCCGTTAAAGAAGCTGCTGCGTTCGGGGTGCTCCGGGCTTCCCCTCGGGCGCAGCTCGCGCGCGGGTTTTCAGGGTTTGGTTTCTTGCGAGGGTTTCTTGCGGCCGCGCCCGCACTGTACCACTCCAGCGGGAGGAGGGAGGAGAGAGGACGGAGGAGGTAGGAGGGGAGAGGGAGGAGGGAGGAGGGAGGAGGGAGGAGGGAGGAGGGAGGAGCGAGAGAGGAGGCTTCCGGTGATCAACCCAGGTGCCGCGCGTGAGGGACCCAATTGTGCCCGAGCCTCGCCAAACACCGCCCCCGCGCAACACCCAGCTCACCGCGGGGCTGCTGGCAGCCCCCCCACCCCCCGCCACCCCTGGCGGCTCCAGCCCATCCTGGGTGAGGCTGCCGGGGTACCTCCTGTGGAATCCAAGGCCAGGCTTCTCGATGCCCCAAACATTGAGAGCCCGCCGTAAGTTCCCCAGCCGCCAAGAGGGGGCGTTCCGCGGGGCATCAGGCTGCCCGCCCGCTACCCACGCGGCGCGGCCCCGAGGGCCAATCGGATTGGATGAGCCTCTTGCAGGGCGCAACTTGGGAAAAGAGGAGGAGGACGTGGAGGAAGAGGAGGAGGAGGAGGAGGAGGAGGACGTTACCAGCAAGCGGCCGCGCCGCCGCCCGCAGAGACAAAAAGTGGAGGAGGAGGAGGAGGAGGAAGAAGAAGAGGGAGAGCGATAGGATGAGGAGGAAGAGGAGAAGGAGGAGGAGGAGGAGGAGGACGTTACCAGCAAGCGGCTGCGCCGCCGCCCGCAGAGACAAAAAGTGGAGGATGAGGAGGAGGAGGAGGAAGACGGATAGCGATAGGATAAGGAGGACGAAGAGCAGCTGGAAGAAGAGGAGGAGGAGGAGGAAGAGGGAGGCGATAGGGTAAGGAGGACGAACAGCAGCTGGAAGAGGAGGAGGAGGAGGACGAGACCGCCGCCGCCGCCGCGGTGGGCCGCACGGGGGAAGTGGCGAGGAGGAGGGCGGGGAAGAGGAGGAGGGGGAGGAGCAAGGAGAGGAAGAACAGAAAGAAGATGATAACGTCGACGACGACGACGACGACGACGACGACGACGACGACGGACGACAGAGGAGGCGGCCCAGCCTGACAAGAGTCAACTGTAGGAGTTCCTTCACCAAGAGGCGCTGAGCGGAAACCTTCGCACAACATTTGGTCGCTGTTATCTCGCGTTCGTGAGTGTCGTCGTCACCGTCATCGTTCGCCGCATTCTGCACTTGACACGTGATTTGCTGCCTCCAGAGCTTGTCGTCGCAATTTGTGTCTTGCCCTCTTGGCTCCAGTGGCTCCCAAGGCTTAAGATGGATACGTATGCATCTAAGTCATGCGCACCGTGTCGTCTTTCGCAGGTGTATCCGCGATGTTCCCCCGCATCGTGTTTGCAATATTTCCCCGTATGGGTTCCCGTACGTTTGTCCGGGTTGACTCACACGTTGTTTCCCACTTTTTCGTTTTGTCGTACATCCCGTGTTGTCTCCTGGATGGGCGCATCTGTGTTTGTTACCCGCGTTGTTTCTCGTATCGTTTTCTTTGGCGTTTCCCAAGTTTTTCCCATATTCTTATCGCGTATAGCCTCTAGTATTGATCCCCGGGTTGTCTCTCGTATCGTTGTTGATTTGTGGTTGTTCTCCGTTGGTTGTCGTTTCCCCGCATCGTTGCCCCCATCGTTGCCCCTTCGTGTACCTGTGGTTGGTCAGGGTCTTTTGTCACCAGGGTGTAAAACTGCTTGGGTTTTGCCAACCTTCCTGTTCGTTGGCCGCGATTTTGAATCGAACACAGTGGTCTCCAACGCATCCTCTCCTCCTCCTCTTCTTCCTTCCCTCCTCCTCCACCTCGTCCTCTCTCCTCTTCCTCCTCCTCCTCCTCCTCCTCCTCCTCCTCCTCCTCGCGGCGTCACCTTCTCGGGGCCCTCGGGAGCCCAGGCGGGCAAACGACCTACGCGGACCTAGCAGAGATTTCGCTGCGCTTTGAGGGGGCGGTTATTATCTGCGCAAGTGTCGCCACTTTGGCGGGCCCTTGGGAAGCCCGGAGGAACCACGTCCTACGCGGACTCAGCCTCCTCCTCTTTCTCCCCCTCCTCCTCCTCCTCGCGGCTAGGGGCAGATAAACCGGCTTTCGTCGTTCTTGCACCAGCCACGTGGCGCTTTGCCCGTGGCAGCGGCGCGTTAGCTGTGCCCGTGACCTGGAGATGGGTACCAGGCACGGGGAGTGTGCATTTGGTTGAGAGGCGGGGCCATGTGGTCCGTAAGTCCCTTGGGACCTTGTGTCCGCTCACCCTGGGGTGCAAACCCAGTTGCACATGCCATCCAATTCGGCAGGGGTGACGGTCGGGAAGTACTGCGCGGTGACGCGGTGAACCGGCTGTCCCCCTACGCACCACGCCGTCTCGGTTGGGCAGCGAGTCGCTGAGTGACGAGGTATCTGCCTTTCTCCTGACCGTCGGTGCTGGCGCCTGCGGGCCCCTACCTCCTGTCTGGGAGGCCGACGATGACGGTTGAGCCTCGCTCGCCGTTCACTTCTTGGATCTATGACACTCCTGACACTCCTTTTCCTCCTCCTCCTTTTTCTCCTCTTCCTCCTCCTCCTCCTCCTCCTCCTCCTCCCTCCTCCCTCCTCTCCTCCTCCCCTCCTCTTCCTCCTCCTCATGGTTAGAACATATTTGCGCTCCATGGCAATATTGCGTTGGTTGTGCATCCATGGCGGTGTGGGACAGCATTCAGGAGGGAGGAGGAGGTGGAGGGTATGGGTAAGGCTTGCGTACTGCGCGAGTTTCCTGAGATGCGCCATGGTTGGGTCCCACGCGGCAGCGACGATGACCCCGCAGTTCAGCGAGATCGTGCCATCATGGTGGGCCTGCGCACTCCCGCCGAATCGCACAGAAATGGTTTGAGGAGCAGATAGGAGCAGGACTTGCTTCCCCTCCTCCTCCTCCTCCTCCTCCTCCTCCTTATCCTCTGTCTCCTCCTTCTTTCCTCTCTCCTCCTCCTCCTTCTCCTCCTCCTCCCTCCCTCTCTCCCTCCCTCCCTTCCTCCCTCTTCCCTCCTCCTCCTCCTCCTCCTCTTCCTCCTCCTCCTCGTTTGTTCGTTTCTGAGGCAAGAGAGTCGAAACTTTTACGCGGGGATAGGGCGAGAAATAGCAGGATGGAAACAGTGGCGACGAGGATCCCCCAGACCAAGAGCCACACGGAGAGGGCCAGCCCAAAGCCCACGCACCCCCCCAAGAGAGGGGGACGCAAAGGAGGAATAAAGGAGAAGAAGAGAAGGGCCCGAAAGGGGGGAGCTTGGGCTACGGGCGTCCCAAGAAGCAACGACCCACAAGGGCCCGCAGAAACAGGCACACAAAAACGAGCCGAGCCCAGCAAGGCGACGAGGCATTCCGAGCCGCGTCCAGCGCGTCGGGCAGATGCTACAACGTTGCTGCAGTCCCCGCTCAGCTCACATGCCCTTCGATGTGCAACCAAACTATCTCACATCCCAGTCGAAATCCAACTGCTCAACCATGACAGCCCACCTTCTCGAAGTCAGCCGTGCCCGGACCACGGTACTCTGGGCGGCTTTGAGACGATCTTGCAATGCGCCAGCTGCAGGCGGTGGCGCGCAGCTCTGGATCGGCGAGTTCTCTGTCGCAGAGGGCCCTCGCAAAACAGCAGCCCGTGCATCGGCCAATGCGGTGATGGCATTGGGCTCCAGCAGCTTGTACCGTACCAGCGCCGCTTCGAGACACTTGGCTGAGATCGTACCAAGGTTTTCCGGAAGGGCAGGTTCGACCAACTCAGACAGCATCGTGACCCCTTCCTCGGCCGACTGGATGAGCCTGGACGTGCAATTATCCGTCTGGTGCGCCTTAGCATTGGCGTCGCGCACCGTTTCGTGGATGGCAGTTGGATCGAGCCCCTCTCCGCGACGCATAACTACTGCCTTTGGTGATGCCGCTGTGGTCTTCGTCCCTCCCGACGGTGTGCTCAGACTAGACCGTGCTGTGAGCATCTCGCGCAAGGCCACCCGGAACGCAGCCACCTCCAGTGGCGTGGCCATGCGAATTGTACATGCCAGTGCCGTTTGGCTGACGAACTTGTCCAAATTCCTCAGGAGATGCACCAACGACGACACGGGAGTCCGCGGAATGACCAGGTGAAGGCTGCTTGTAAATAACGAAAGCGTGAGACTTGCCAACAGAATTCCGATGCCCATGATCAACCACTGAATAGCGATCAACCAGTTCTGACAAACTGTGTATCAGGCCAATATTTGCAACATTCTGCATATGAACGCTGGAACCCTGATACAGAATTATATGGTACACGATCTTCTTGGGATGGCTATTGATGCGCACGCTGCAGATACTGTCTGCCTGCCTGCAGTTTCTCCAATATCCACTGGAGGCGCGCTGCAGATACCGTCAACTGCGGAGCCGAAAGAGCGAAATGGGGGAAGCGGCGCGCGCCGCCCAGTGGCCAAGGAGGCGTACAAGTGCTCGCCCCGATATGGCTCTCCTTCTCCTCCTTCTCCTCCTCCTCCTCCTCCTCCTCCCTCCCTCCCTCCCTCCCTCCTCCCTCCTCCCTCCTCCCTCCTCCCTCCTCCCTCCTTCCCCCCACCCTTGATGCGTGGCCATGTGTGATGATTGCTTGACTGCTGGTGGTTGCTTCGTCCCCAACCCCCATCCGTTGTGCCTGGCCCGCCGTTACCCTCTTGGAGGCCTTTGACTGAGTGGCCTCGTTTGGCAGCATCGTATGAGCTCATTTGGAGGAACCTTGCCCTTGCGGGGTGCTGGAGGAGGAGGAGGAGCAGGAGCAGCAGCAGCAGCAGCAGGAACAGGAGGAGCCCAGCCTAAGGAAAGGGAGGGAAAGGGAGAGGACGAGGGGAAGGAGGAGGAGGAGGAGGAGGAGGAGGAGGAGGAGAGTGAGAACGAGGATGAGGAACAGGAGGAGGAGGAACAGGAGGAGGAGGAGGAGGAGAAGGAGGAGGGTAAGGAGGAGTAGGACGTTGAATTACCTGTGCGGTTTCACCTTGTTGTTTTGATGGAGAGCTTTGGATGCTTCTCGTCGAACGGCTGGACCCACTTCAATATCTAAGCCAGATCGCGCTCGGTGATGGATCCGGGTGCCGAATTCTGAGGAGGGTGGAGCAGAAGGAGGACTAGGAGGCGAAGGAGGATGAGGATAATGAGGATGAGGAGGATAAGGAGAAGGATGAGGAGGATGAGAGGATGAGGAGAAGCAGGACTATGAGGAGGATGAGGAGGCGAAAGAGGAAGGGGCAGGAGAAGGAGCAGGTGTAGGAGGATGGAAATGAGAAGCGTGCAAGTTTGCCAGTGTCTCACGCACTCCCGCAAGCTGGGGGTCGGCGGATGGCTCTGGATGCCGCCGTGAGTTTCCTGCGGAGGCATACGCTTGAAACGCCAACTGTGGAGTGAGCCAGTGCTTCTGGAGGTTGCCAGAGTTGGAGCTGGTTGAGGGCCTGAGGTGGCCCTAGATTGGTTCTCGGCGTTCTGGGGACAGCGTTTCAACCGCGTGAGCCCCTGAAAGTTGCTTTCGGGCCCCAGGGCCATCATGATGTCATTTTCACCTCCCCCACCCCAGCGGGGGTCATTCCGATTCCGCCGGTTCGATTCGAATCGATTTCCGCGATTCCGATTTCGAACCGACTCAATTCCGGGATTCCGATTCGCGATTCCGATTTCGAGTTCGCCCGATCCGGCTTCTGCCGATTCGATGCGTCAGCCGATTCCTGCTGGCTTTTGCCGATCCGGCTTCGCTCCGGCTCTGGCCCTCAAGGGGAGGAGGGAGGAGGAACCCCCAGGGGGGAGTCCAAAAACCCCAAACCTCCCCGGGGGGGGGGTCTAAAAGCCCCGGGACCCCAAACCCCCCCCCGGAGGAGGAGGGAGGAGGAAGGAGGACGGGAGGAGGGAGGAGGGAGGAGGGAGGAGGAGGGAGGGAGGGAAGGAGGGGAGGAGGGGCGACGACGGCAACCCCCTGGGGGGTCCAAAAACCCAAACCCCCCTGAGGGGGGGGGTTCAACCCCCCCTCCCCCCCCCAGGGGGAGGGGTGAAAAACCCAACCCCTTCCCAGGGGGGGTTCGAACCCCCCCCCCCTCCCAGGGGGGGGTCCAAAAACCCAAACCCCCCCCAGGGGGGGGTCCGGAAACCTAACCCCCCCCAGGGGGGGGGGGTCGATTTCAATTCCGATCCGGCTTGACGCGGTCCGGTTTCCGACTCGATCCGGCTCGGACCTGCCGACTTCAGCCGATTTCGATTTGGCTGCCGGCTTTAGCCGATTTCTGCCGATTCGATGTTCCGGTCGACCCGATCCGGCTTATCGATTCGATGCTGGGGCCGCTTGCCCTAGGAGGAGGAGGAGGAGGAGGAGGAGGAGGAGGAGAGGAGGAGGAGGAGGAGGAGGAGGAGAAGGAGAAGGAGAAGGAGAAGAAGGGGGAGGAGGAAAGGGAGGAGGAGATCCAGTTCAGACCCACAGCTGCCTCCAGTGCCAGAGAGACAGCAGGAGCGGAGGAAGGACGGGGCAGCAGGAAATGATAGAGGCCTCCTGCTTAAGATCTTCTCTCCTCCCTCCTCCCTTCTCCTCCCTCCTCATTATCTCCTCCTTTTCCTCCTCCTCCTCCTCTACTCCTCCTCCTCACTCCTCCTCCTCCCCTCCTCCTCCTCCTCCTCCTCTCCTCCTCCACCCTCCCTCCCCTCCCTACTTCCCTGCCCTGCCCTTCCTAACCTCCCTCCTCCCTCCTCCCTCCCTCCTCCTCCTCACTCCTTCCTCCCCCCTCCTCCCTCCTCCCTCCCCCCTCCACCCACAGCCCTCCGCCCTCATCATCGACTCCTCGCGTTTGGCCTTGGGAGTGGGAGGCCTTCGTCACCGCTGCTGGAAGCAGCTCGGAAGGCTAGTCCGCTTGGACTTCGGGAGGGGGGGGGCGTAAGCCGACCTTGCGCGGTGTTTGGCCTGGCCCGAGGACGCCTCAGCTTTTTCAGGGAGGCCGAGGTGGCCTGAAGAGCAACCCTCGCCAGGCCCAGATGACCCAAGGCACTCCAAGATGGCGCGAAGAGCGAGGGACACTTCAGGCCACGACCATGTTTGGCAACCTCCGATGCTTTGCAGCATCCCGTGCGTGTGTGTGTGTGTGTGTGTGTGCCGTCGTAGGCGGCTGAGGGCGCCAGCGTGGCCATGCCAGCAGTCGGTCTCGCCCACTCTTCCTGGTGGTAGTCGTGTGTTTTCACTTGCCCAGTGTTACAACGAAATGATGCTCAAGGGTTCGACGCCGTTAGCAAATGTTTGGCCACCCCTTGCTTTAGGAAATGAAGCCCCTGAAACATACTGTACATAACAATGCTGTATACGATTTCGTGCGGATGGTCTACCACTCAGTACAAAACATGGTGTGTCCGATTATGTGCCCCCACGAAGACGAGGGCACTTGTGATTGCATTGCTCACGACCCCCCGGGAGAATTGCCCAAGGGCGTAGCCAAAAATATGAAACAAGGGGCACCATCTATGGGCCGATTCCCGACGACTGCACAGCCAACACAGGACTGGATCCTTATTGAACTCTGCATTTGGGCGTCGCTCGGTGGGCTTCCCAGGGGCTCGCGAAAGTGCCGATGGTTAAGCAGCAGTCAGCACCGTGACACCGCAAGAATCTCAACCGGAGGCGCGGGCTTTTCTGTCCCGCGCTGGCAGCCTTCAAGCGAGCAATGAGGCCTTGACTGGGTGTGCGTGCCGCTCCCTCCGTTGGGCTCCAAGGATCCCTGTGAAGCCGAGACTGGCGTAGTTGGCAGCCCCCCGCAGAGCGCCACGACTCATCAACTGGATGTGCATGCCATTGCGATCCGCTGGACCTCCAGGAGCTGGCAGAAGTGGCGACAGCTGGGCAGTTGGTAGCCCCTTCAGGGAGCCGCCAGGTCTAGCCGTGGTGCGCGGGGACATCCACTCCGCCTGGGAGCTCTCGAAAGTCGCCGCAGCTGCGCGGTTGGTAGCCCCCCCAGGGAGGGCGAGGTCCAGTCGCAGCGCGCGTGGATCTCCACTCGATTCTGCTGGACCTCCCGGAAGCTCGCGAAAGTGGTGGCCGTTGCGCAGTTGGCAGCCCCCCTCCTCCTCCTCCTCCTCCTCCTGTTCCTCCTCCTCCTCCTCATCCTCCTCTTCCTCCTCCTGTATCGTCCTCCCCCTCCTCTTCCTCCTCCTCCTCCTCCTCCTCCTCCTCCTCCCGGGAGGGGGGGGGGGGCAGCCGCGGTCCGCGTGTAATTACACTCCGCTGGACCTCGCAGCAGCTCGCGAAAGTGGCCACCGTTGCGCATTTGACAGCCTCCCAGACAGGACACAAGAGGCAGGAGACCGAAGGCAGGAGGAACGACGAGGGAGGCGGAGGAGGAAAGATGGAGACTAGCAGCGCTTCGTTCAAAACGAGGACCCGGTTCAATGAAGGGTTGGGAAGTAAGACAATGCAGAACGATAGTATCGGTTGTCTGCTACGGTGTTAACAGCTCTGCCGTGTATTCGCCAATCGACTGCTGAGGTGTTTGTCTGATTGTTTCCTGCACTTATCCACCACCTCTCAGTATGCGGCATCTCAAAGCGGCATTGTGGTTGATCTGTGAAGTTGCATTGTTGCCGATTGTTTCTGCTGTATTGTGAAGGCCTTGCGGCTGGTGCCGCCGACCCTGAACACGACGACGATGATGACAACGAGGAGAAGGGGAACAGGAGGAGGAGGAGGAGGAGGAGGAGGAGGACGAGGACGACGACAAAAAGGAGGAGGAGGAGGAGGAGGAGGAGGAGAAGGAAGAGGGCCAAAAAACGAGGCAGAATGGCTTCCTTTGGATGGAGGGGTTACAGCCCCTGGAGGAGGAAGAGGAGGAGCAGGAGGAGGAGGAGGAGGAGGAGGAGGGGGAGGAGCAGCAGCAGCAGCAGCAGCAGGAAGTAGGAGGAGGAGGAGGAGGAGAAGGAGGAGGGGGAGGAGGAGGAGGGAAAGGATAAGGAGGAGGAGGGGGAGTGGGAGGGCAACAATTCGAGGCGGAATCGCTCCAGGCAGGGGGGGAGGAATGTCACAAGACCCCTCCCTCTGGTCCAGAATTGGGGGTCACAACCCCTGGGACCCCCCCCCCTAGGACAGAAGGCGGAAGGGGCCGTCTTGGGGTTTGTCTCGGGGCTTTTTAGGCCCTCTTGGGGCGTCGGAAGCTCAAGAAGGCAAGAACGTTAAAGACATTGAACAGCGTAGAGAAAGTTAATGAGTTTCCCTCTGGAGCCCTCTTAAGAAGGGTCGTTAACCTCTCTTGGGGCGTCTCGAGGTCATCTTGGGCGATTCGCGCCGATCGTGCCGCGGTGCGAGGCCCTCTTGAAGTGTTCCGCCGGACTCTTAAGATCCTCTTGGCCTGGTTTGAGCTCCCCATGTGCCCGAAGAAGTCATGAGCCACCATTCTCAGACTCGGGACATCATCCCGGTGCCACCAGTAGTCCTTGTCGAATCGACAATGACAGTATGGACTAGCATGCCAATATCGGAACGCCAGCAGGACATGATCAGCCCGCAGTCGACATACCACGATTACAAGTCACATGTGCGAACATCTTACACACGTCTTACGTATCATGGGCATCGCGTGCACATAAATGATTGCGCAATGCACACGGGCGTCACTGGACGTCACTGGTGCACAACGCCGGGTGGGGTCGAGCCACCACTTGGCAGATGGCCAGGAGAAGGGAGGATGCGGAGAGGGGGTGAGGAGGAGGAGCACGAGGACGAGAACAAGGAAGAGGAGGAGGAGAAGGAAAAGCACGAGGAGGAGGACGACGACAAGGAGGCAGGACGAAGAGGAGGAGGAGGAGGAGGAAGGGAGGAATACCATCGGGATACCGCGAAGGGAAGCCACGCTCAGTCGACCGACGAATCCATAATCGGTATCACTCCGTTTCGCGATCCTTGATGGCCCATGGCGCTCTTGCACGGCTACGCACGGGACGATCAGGGAACGTGAAAAGCCATTCCTCCCCCCCTTCTTCCTTCTCCTCCTCATCATCCTCCTCCTCCCCCTCCTCCTGTCTCCTTCTCCTTTCTCCTCCTCCTTCTCCTCCCTCTCCTCCTCCTTTCTCCTTCTCCTCCTCGCCGCGCCTGGCTGCCACCATTGCGCGACCCCTGTAGTGGGTGGAAGAGCAGGACTGGGTGGATAAGGAGGAGAGCGGGGAGGACAGAGACATAGAGAGGACCAGACAGCGGGGAAGGAAGAGCGGGTGACGTGGAGGAGGGGGAGGAGGAGAAGGAAGAGAACACTTGGAGCTGCCATGTTGGGTCGTCGAAGAATCTCGGGTGCGTTTGGAAGCTCTTCAGCACTTTTGAGATCTCTCGGACATCTTGCGAGTTCATTCGGCAGA